GCAYRTAKTTGACTRAAGATTTTTATATCGTTCYCTAAACACCCTAACAAAATKCCTCGATGCGCCCTCATGCAACATCTCAAAAATAATKTTCAGTAAAGTYTTGTACATACCAATATCTACCAAGAGCGCCAGACTCCATAGAATTCGAAAACAAATCATGACKTCCATGAAGAAGTAACTGACAATATGGCGGCTTTGTCTGAAGTCTTGAAGARCTCAGATTTTTTGCAGTTTGTAAACACCAAGTCCACACAATCAAATACTTCGACCAATTACGCATCAATATGAGGTTAGGAAAAAAAGTCAATTGGCAGGTGTTCTTACGTATCTTAATTTTTTGAATCCACAATTATGATTTTTTTTAACAAGAGATAACAGTTTACTATATTTATTACATGGGCTTCCTGTGGAAGCACATGTTTTGTTCTACCTTCTGTTCAATCTATCAACGTCGCGTATAGTCCCCCATGATGCTTTACGAACTTAAAAATGGTCACGTGGCCTGATAACACAGGAGGCCCAAAGTCACTTAAAACAAAATGGCTGACAGACGGTTGAGACGGCGGCAAAAAGTTGTCTCGTTTTATAGCTAAAATACTCTAACGAGCTGAAAATCTAACAAAATCAACTGACTAACATCCAAATGACATGGAATAAGGTATATAATTCAAGGTTGTCGGATGATTCGTGTAGAAATGACTGGGCATTTTCTATCGCCGACACGAAGAACACTAATACGTCGCCACAACAAGTGCTCGATGTCAATCACAAAATCCTCAAAAAGTAAGAAATCGCATGAATATTTAAGGTTKATACTTTGACAGAAGAATAATTATTCGATGGACTAAAACATATCAAACCTCATCTGAAAACTATTGATGCCATTTTCTAAGCTGACGACATGTGTTTGGACTTGAAAACTGCACGTGTACCACAGGGAGCCCAAGCAGTGACTTTGRACCTATAATAGTTAAAAATAAAATTTTACTAAAAAAAATGGTCTTCTTTTGTTTTATTTAGTGTCACAATGCATTATAAATGGGTTTTAAAAAATATCCCATACCTATATATATATAGTGACAAGGGAGGAGACTCCGCTCGAAATTCTCCTAAAAATGAGCCAAAAACGATCGACAAAAATCCTTTTTTCGCACCGAAATTAAATCAAAACGAAATTTTATCTAAGACAGCATATGTAAATCAACGTTTTTTACCTTATTTTGGACGAGAGGCATCGATAGAAACGNTATCTACCAAGAGCGCCAGACTCCATAGAATTCGAAAACAAATCATGACGTCCATGAAGAAGTAACTGACAATATGGCGGCTTTGTCTGAAGTCTTGAAGAACTCAGATTTTTTGCAGTTTGTAAACACCAAGTCCACACAATCAAATACTTCGACCAATTACGCATCAATATGACGTTAAGAAAAAAGTCAATTGGCAGGTGCTCTTACGTATTAAATTTTTGAATCCACAATTATGATTTTTTAACAAGAGTTTACAGCTTACTATATTTATTTGGAATTTAATTCAAGGGCTGGGTGAAGGGTTCTACTTGCTCGCCTTCCAAAAGAGTAAATATATATCCGAGMCACAGTTTCTTTATTCATTGTTAATTCTGTATGACTAAGCTACATTTTCAATAGTCATTTTACAATTAGATATTGTTTAGTTGTTTAGTATAGTTTACTTCTTTACTACTTTCTTACCAGTCTAGCTTTCCCTTGAATGTTTTTTATAAACACCATTCCTTTAACTTATCCTTTTTGTTATAAATGTTATAATAATTTCTTGTAAAATTCTAATTTAAGAATTCATTCTTTGTGCAGACAAATGATTAAAAAATGATTAATTTTCAAACGATTTTGAGTTTAAAGGTCCTCTTATTATTGACACACTCTTGACCTYATAAGGTGTCCGCAGGTTTTCAACAAATTTTTATCCTAGAAATTAGCGTAAACCATTCCTTTCTTTCAACTGAAGGCGCACAAGATATGATGGTGTCCGCAGTGTCTATGACCTCTTATTGACACACTATAATCAGCCAATTGACGCGTGAGAATTTACACAATTGTGGTAAAAACAATATCATTGGCGGGCGTCCGGGCAATGATTCAAATGCCTCATACAATACGTTAGTTATACCATGTGAAAATTGACTTCAGTTAATGTAAAAGTTTTTGGTCATTCCTAAGTGTTATTAACGTTAACGCGACACTGATATCACAGTCATCTAAGTGCCTATGCAATAATACGAATTATCGCCCATACGCGTGCATTGCTTGCCAGGACAGGGGCTTGGATTGCATGGATCTATCACTGGAATTCAAAAAGGATAATAGATTAGTCGTTATAAATGTGCCACGGTGTAAAGACTATAGCGAGAAATCACCAAATTTACCAATTAACCAAGATAAGCTCGACGTGAGCGCTCTTAGAGCGTCTACTTATGCTTAGAAAGTACTAGACAAAGGTGGTTTGACGGGGTGAATGAGATGGCTAACCAATCCCTGTTTTAGGGTGCAAAACTTTTGAGATAGAAATTAATGATGACATAAATAAATATAAGAAGAAATAAACTTGAATTCGACTCATAAAAACTTAAAAAACAAATATAAACCATTGTTCATCTGAAAAAAATTTTCTTTTTCCGCAGCCCAAAATTTAAATATCCTTTAAATATCGATTTTTCTTCAGTTAGTCGCCCCATTTGTATATCGTTCTGATTCGACAAAGCTTAAAAAATTTGTGATGAAAATGTAACATGAATCCTGAGAGTTAAATGGCTGCTCTTGGTTTGCTTACCTGTCTCACAGGTCAGTCCAGTGTACTTGGATGCACAAGTGCATTTGAAGGAGGAACCATCTGGAGTGCACACACCGCCATTTAGGCAAGGATTGGTTTCACAAGCTGAACTGATTACTACGGCAAACAAACGTAATATAATCAGCTCACAATGAATTAACACGAACCCTAAGAATTAAATGGCTGCTCTTGGTTTTTTACCTGTGTCACAGGTCAGTCCAGTGTATTGCGATGTGCAAGTGCATCTGAAGGAGTTTCCGTCTGGAGTGCACACACCACTATTTCGACAAGGAGTGGAATCGCAAGCTGTACGGATTACTGCAACAAACATATATTAACATAACTCAATTAAACTGTATTTTAAAAGCATAAATGCAATATTATTGGAGTCCTTAGATAACTAGAAGCAGACAATGAGAAAGGCATTACTTGAAAGCTTCACAAGTTGCAAACAGTTTTTACATCTTTAAGTCATTTTACCGTTCATTAAACAAGTTTGTTGTATCGTATGTTTCTGTATTGAGCATTGTCTAAGGGATACCTTACCTGTTTCACAGGTCARTCCAGTGTATTGCGATRYACARGTRCATTTGAAGGAGTTGGCATCTGAGGTGCACAYACCGCCATTTTGGCAAGGATTGGAATCGCAAGCTTTTCTTATTACTGCATCAAACAAATGTAACAAAATCAACTTACAATCAATTAGAGAGAAAAGAAAATCTCAAAAATAACCAAAAACAGGCAAAGAAGCAAACTCTTCTTTATAATTTTTGCCATGAGATATTGTTGTTACTTTGACACTGCATGTCGAAATAGTCAAAGTGGAATAATATTGCGTACGGACCCTTGGCAATAGCAAATTGTTTGCTTCCATTCTTACTTTGTGTGTCACAGAGGCGTCCTGTGAATAACGATGGACAAGTGCATTTGAAGGTGTCTTGTGTGTTGGTACAACTTCCACCATTTTGGCAGGGCGACGAATCACAGGGCTTTATTTCTAAAACAGAAAATCTCATAACATRATTTATCTTTTCTGTAGTGGGTTGTAGCCAGTCTTTCTTTGAGCTTTGACATTTTACTCATTTACTCAAATTCAGCTAGTTATAAAGCGAATCTCTTCTCCCGATGCCATCTTGTCGTTGTGGCCAAACGTTCTCCTGTCTTTCTTTCCTTGTGTTTTACATGTCAGTAAAATCCATCCACATGTTTGTCATTTAGTCCCTTCGATTCTGTATTATCAATCGGCATCTTCTAAATACAGTTTCCGTGAATATAGCAAGTTGTTTCTTGGCAACATTTCCTCACAATACCAAAATGAAACCCACCACTTCTTCCATTCATCATCTATTGATCCATCGTTCGTTAACCATTGCCACCCGTCTATTAATATGCCTCCTATAAATACCTCTAGCTAAATATCTAACTCCTTCCTTCTGTCTGTCTGTCTGTCCTTACCTACGTCACACTTTGCCCCAGTGAGTCCTGCCTTACATGTACAGCTGCCATAGCTGTCACTCACAAAGTTGCAGATTTCAAATGGTTTACAGACACTGCAGCTGTTCTGTTTGGGTKAAACACATAAGAATTATACAAGATCTGATTGTATAAGGAGTGCGTTTAGAGCAGATCGAAAATGCGCAGAGTTCGACAGTGATGGATGCAGAACTTTACAAAAGGGGGAAAGGGGGTGGGTTTAAATGGATAAAGATTCAGGGCTGCGGAAAATGAGATTTCTTTGAGATGAAGGCTTCTTTATTTGTTTTTTGATTGTCTTATTCTTTCTTCTTTCATTTATTTATGTCATAATTTTCATTTCATATTTTTGAACCCTAAAAAGCCACCCAAATCACTCCCGTAAATCCGTATGGTAGAGTTCGAGTATAATAGAATGTAGTTCGAGTGGAGCAATGTGGAATGGAGTTCGAGTAGAGTAGAGTTCGAGTTGAGTCTAGTACAGTAGGGAATCTAACCTTTGCTCTGCCATAAACTGTTCCTTCTTGACCAATAAGATCACGTTGATGAATCACGTGGTCTGAATCACTCAATTCGCATTTGTTTTTATTCGACTCAAAATTGTAACTGRTACACCGGTGACTGGGGTCCATAAAGCACTTCCTTCTACACTCCTTTCGATCCGAGGCCCACTTGGTCTTGAACACGTGACCTTGTAAAGTTTTGTCGTCGAATTCGTCGTCAGGTTTGAAAGTCATCGTTTTGCATTTTGCRTTCACTAAAAATATAGAATTTAACTAAGAATATCTTAAAAGTAAATAAAGGTCGCGTTGTTTCAATACTTTTTTCYTACGTAAAACCCGCGTCTTWTTGGTGCGTTGGTCCTGCGTAGAATTAAAGCGTTTGCAGACGATAATCCAGTCTTTATATTAATGAAAACAKTGATATTGTTGAACGCTATCGTTCGTGATAACTCATGAACTTCGATGTTTATAATGCAGACAGTTATACGCACTCTTCGGAAAATCGGTCACGATATTCGCTTACAAAATCGGTGCGTATWAATTAGTCTCAGTCCAGACGTAGGGAAAATGAATTAAACGTGCGTGTGGACTGATGCAATTGATGCGTAACGAGATCTACGGGTGCGATTTGCACTCGCGATTCTGCACTGCGATGTTCGTTCGCACGCAATCGGTCTTTCAACGTCGCGCAGATGATTAATAGCAGCGAGACAACGCACGACTTCATAACTCATTAGAGAGTCTGGTGTTAATGATGAGATCTTGTCAGTTTTAGAATATTCCATTTAGAATATTCTCTATGTAAAACAATTTCAATCCGAAAATGATCATATTTTTAATTTTGAGGATGGGATTGGTACACATGGCAAAAGTGCTTTTTTTTAAGAAAGCGTCGCTTGATTAATTATTTATAATTGATTTATTACACAATTTGGAAAACAAACTTCAAATAATGATAATTTCAAAATTACCCTCCCCAACCCCCCACAAACGAGAAAAAAATAGCAATGATGATTTAATATAAGTAATTGCATACTTCATGTGTTTGACTCAGTATTTTCCTGGCTCAAGCGTCGAATTTATGTCAAATAGCTCACACTAAGAAACTCAGAAACTTAATTCATGAAGTTCTTAAGACGCACTGCTGCAAAATTGGAACCATGTTATATGAAATTGCTCTGTCACGAGACAGTCTGGCGCTAGAACCGAACAAATCTCATCATAACGCAACGTGTGGCCCAGCCCCTATAATTAAAAATTTAAGACGAAAAATTTCTACTCAGGCATCGAGAAATTTGATGTGAATCGATAAATGCTTTTTTTGAAAATTTTTAGTTGGCCTTTCTAATAATGCGTATTCACGAATTTAACCGTAACTTTTAAATTCTCGTGGTTCCAAGAAGTCAGGGTATTGTACACAACCTTGCTATTTAAAATCCAATTTAAACAATTATAAGTGCACTTTAGAAAAAAACAAATTTTTTAAACTATGTGAATTCATTTTCTGTTTTCCTTCAAATCTACATCATTTTTATTACTTAAACTAGTAAGAAACGAAGCATTCTTAGAGCTTGCATGCTTTTAAACCCATSCTTGTAAAACAAATTCTCCGCTTCCATATAATTGTTATTAGATTGTTTAAMRATAAATTTTCAAAGAGTGCGCATTGAGACGTTCCGATATTAAGATTCAAAATTAAGAAAAAGTCTGTCGCTCGGGCTGTTAACACTWTTCGCATTAAACWWTCGCAATTACCTTTCGAAATACCTCAAAAAAGGTATTCAGATATGCAGAAAGTACAAAGTTACAGTTTCTTTTTTTAAAACACATGTATTTGTATGCTAAATAAGCGTAAAATAAACAACTCTTCATAATAGATCATATATGTCAAATTCAGTATTTTAGATTGCAAAGAATGCAATGCATTCGATCGTCTTAGAATAAAGTTGCGCTTAGAAATTCAATATAATCATTTTTTATTTTACTTTTCTATTTCGTTTTTGTGTGTGTTAAAACACCCTGGGAAAATGCCTTTATGTTTTCTCAAAATTGAGCATATTGTTGTACTTACCCATTTCTGTCAAGTAAAGCAGACTCCATAGAATACAAAAACCATCCATTCTGAGCTTCAAACGAAGTTTACGCAGAAAAACAAACAGACAGTGTGCGTGCTTAAGGAATTCTTGACATGTCAAGGGCTCTCAAAGCACATGCGTAATGCACGTACTTGAAGAGTTTCACCAATTATGTATCGATATGAAACTATCACGAGAGTTTTATAMTTGGAAGGGTGTTTACTGTGGCAGGTGTTTTAAGCCTTGCCACTCGTATCCTGAATTTCTTGTATTCACAAATTATCGATTTTAATACAACGTCGGGTTGAAATTTGGAAAATTAAACGGTCCCACGAATGAAAAACATTTTGACCCTTTTTTCGCGTACAAAATATCCGGCTTCGTGTGGACAAGGCTTTTCTTTTGAATTCGGGTTTACACTATGATGCAAACTCGTGTTATTTTTCTAAAGAAATAACTATCGCTAGTGCTTTTTGGCCGTTTTACGACAATAGTTAGAAAAACGCATCCATGCTTTCCTTTTCCATGGTTTTATTTTATTTCCTTTGTTTCTTTTTATAATTTTATCCTTTTTCGGCGGCCCCACTTAACTTAACATCCAACAAATCTGCCTTGGTCTATTAGCTTCTTAGTTACTCCAGAGGATTTGTGTTCCTTACCTATGCAAGTTTCTTATTTACAATAAAGGATGTGTTGCTTAGGATAAAAGTCACTTTATTACCATGGAGTGTGTGTTGCTTAGTTACTATTCAGGATATAAGTTAGTTAGTTACCATAGAGTGTGTGTTGCTTAGTTACCATGCAGGATATAAGTCACTTAGTCACAATAGAGGATAAGTGTTGCTTAGTTACCATGCAGGATATAAGTTACTTAGCTACCATAGAGTGTGTGTTGCTTAGTTACCATGCTGGACATAAGTTTCTTAGTTACCATACAGGTTGTTCAAAGSTTGACAAGCGTTAATCCCGGSTTAACTCGCAAAAATCAGATGAAGTTACAGCAGCCCTGCATTAACTTTAATCAGGCTTTAAACAACCCTACCCAGGATCATGTTTGTGCTATACTGGATACAGGCTACTTTGAAACCATACAAGCCACATTGCTTTGTATCTATACACGCTGTCATGTACTTAACAAAAGTCATATCACATTTGTGTCCAATCTTGAACTTTTGGTGAACTCTATATATAATTTATTATCTAATATACACAGTTCTCAGTCAAAATCTGGTATATCATCAAAAGAGTATCCTTTATAACCCTTCCATGCATAGTAAGCCAAACGGACATGGTAGAAACCAGGAATAAACATCAGAGAACCAAGAATAAGAACTGGATACGTTCTGTCTGCATACTGCAATATAACAAATAGAATCATTACATGTGACTTTAGCAATCAAGAGAACATGAATCACTAAAGAGCATGTATACATAGCTGTCAACCCCCCAACTTTTCAGTTCTGGAGATTTGTGAAATCATGATTTGGGCTTCCTGTGGTGAACTACGGAAGTACGTGACGTCACGGCACAAAGAGGGGCTGTATGGACAGAAAGCAAAGCTACATTTCGATTGAACAAAGAAAATTATACATACTTATAGCATAAGCTCATTATTCAAAAAATAGCTTTTTTACTATAAGAGGTCATATATTTGGTACACCTTACATTAAACATTACCATATTTTTACAAGTTTGACGATTATCCAGGAGATTTCAACCTTTATACGGGAGTCTGGGAGACGAGGTTCAAATTCTGGACACTCCCAGATAATCTGGGAGGATTGACAGCTATGTGTATACATAGGCTTCAAGAATGGTATTGTTATACCAATTTTTCTGATGTTACCAAAGAAGAGACCCTTTCTTGTGCATATCAAGGAGAATGGTGAGAAATCCCTGGAGAGTCTTACCTTAACATCAATGTGTCCAGTGAAAAGAAGTGACCCAATGACTAATAGTAATGTCCCAAATGAGAATAGAACAGTCGCAAGGCATATTGCTCGCCATGGCACCTTTGGBGGGGGCCTGATAAACTGGTATATTTAAAAGATAAGAAAGGAATGATTGACGATATATGATAATTACTTATTGAAGCCTATAGATATTATCTATTTTCAGATGGACACGACAGAATGTATAGAGCACAAGTTATAAGGTAAGGCCTCCTTTTATTGAGTTGTTCACATTGAGAATAAAGGAAACATTTTTGACAGTATTAGCTTATGTAACTTACTCCTTACCTGGGCATCGATGTAGCCATCATCGCCAGAAATTTTATGATATTTAACGGAGCTTGATCTATTTTTCATTGCTATAATAAAGAAATAAGACCTTGGTCTTTTAAACTGAGCTGATCTTAATTGCTATTTAAACAAACATMTGAAATTGAAAATTTTGACTGTGTCAATGTCATAGCTGTATCAAAAACACTTGACCATCTGAACATTTGTTTCCCTATGCTAGGTGAATAATCGCAAATATATATTTTCAAGCACTGACCTTCTATATAATGCAATCATACAGAATTAAAATGAATATCTTACTTAGAAAAGCAATCAATGTTTTGACGTCTTGGTGGAAGCCATCTTGGATCGGAAGCGAGGCTTTAGACAGGAAGCCCATCAGTGARTGACTGGTTAAACCTTTCGTGACAGGGTTTTCTATCTACTGTGATCGCTCAAAACCAGAAGTCTTGCTCAAAACTTTGATAGAGAAGATGTCAACTTCTAACATAGTTAACCCTGCGTACGGAAGGATAGATTATCCTTTACGGGGTCCTTTATCCAGAAGAGCTGAACAGATTTCGCGAGAACTAAAAGAAGTAAGCTTAAGTTAATATTTTTGAGTAATATTGACAAAATAAGCTTAATATAGCTTAATAAGCTTAATATTTCAAAGGGTACAGTTTTTTTTTCTTCCAAAATATTCAAGACAAAAGCCACTGTTATAAGATTATAGCTGATTTCATATTATGATTGACTTAAATGTGAATTTTATTTCTGGCAGTGAATTCTAGTATTCTCAGACTATAGAATTAGAGTTTTGGGATGCTGTATCACCCCAATGGGACCAATGGGACCTGAAATAGTTGCAATTGTAGATGTACTTAATATAGAGGGTCGCTGACCTACATAAAAGAAGGACTCTTATTATTAAAGGAGAACTTAGATAATTTGCTAAGAATTTTTTAATAAAAAGATTCAAACCCAGCACTATGACCCTATATTTCCCTAAACCTAACCATTTATAAGCCATGATGTCAGTTTGCTTGAGTGAACCTGAATTTTTGTGGTATTTATGCAACGGCTATTATGATTTACCTATATACATAAGATTGTATGCATAATTATAATGAAGCTTCAGTATGCACATGAGCCTTCTGTATGCCGTACATTAGCTGACCCTGTATGTACATGTACATCCATGATGAAGAAGAAAAAAAGATCCTACTCCTCATCCCTTCCTTGCAATGGTTCCCAAGCCACTCCCAAGGCGTATGCGTGCTAAATGTTCCAATTTGCATTATACATCATTCTAATGAAATATTGTTTTTTGTTGTTGTTGTTGTTGTTGTTTTTCACTTCTAAGGGTGTCAAGAAGCCATTTGATAAATGCATAAAACATCTTGGAGATCTTCATTGCTTGAAAGCACAGAAACCTTTGACATTTGTACGACAGGTAAGGATGTTAGTTACTATCGTTTGCAATGAGCCTATAGATAAATCAAACAAACTTCTGCTGCCAATTTTCAAGTAAACCAGTGTTTGGTGCCATAGCACTTTGGTTGATTGACAGGGGTCTGTTTCTTAATTGTCTGCTTCACAGTTCTCTGCAACATCTTTAAAGGTAGCCATGTATAATTTACATTGAAGACAGACAACCGATTAGCATGCAATGGTATAGTCTCCTTTCACAGCTGTTATTGAGGGATGAGACTCGTAAAGGTTGCAAGAGGAGACTAGCAATGATAGAAACCTTCTTTCACACCTTTACACAATTATTTGTGCATCTATCATTACACACRAAATGGCTGTMTTGCTTAATTAATTCAAAAATAAGACTGCCTTTCAAGATGATGCGGGGACCATGAAGGAGACAATCCGCAGATGTGAAGTTTTATCTACTGCAACTCCTCACCAGGTGTCTTTTATGAAGAGAATTGACTGTATCTACTAATGTCTAAATCAATCTTAAGGTCTATGGGCCAATATCCGTCTGAAATATGGGTTTAACTAGACTGGAACAGCTTGAGCACCATAATCCTTGAAACAGACAATAGTACTAAATTATGCTAATTGATGACATTGTTTTCCATTGTTTAAAGTTTTTAGTGTAGCATGTTTGATGATATTTGTCTTACAGATTTAAGGCATCCACTTATCATTTTAATTTGTCTGACAGCTCAAAGAGTCTTTCTGCAGTGTATAGGATGTTAGTAATGTGAGTAAAGATTAAATAAGAAACAACGTTATTGTTAAGGTTTTTAGTTTGTTGATGTATCCCGATCTCCTTATGGATGATCCAAGGTTWCCTCAAGATGCAAAGGAAAGAGCTGATGAGATTCTCAGCAATAAAGGAGGATACAGCATTGGTATGACTATTTCATTTTATTAGCATATTAAATAGTTTTTTAACTACAATTTGCTCTGAATTTTTTTTGGTAAAATCTGTCAATCAATCAACTTATAATCAATCATTCAATCAATCAGTCAGTCAGTCAAACAGTCAGTCAATCACATCAATCAGTCAATCAAGGGCTACTCAGCTTTTCCTGACTGTACTAAATAACTAATCACATAGTTGCTTATTCTTCTTGTCAGTATGTTTTTGTTTTTTCTCAATCGTTCTCTTTTCCTTTTCTCTTTTTTCAGAACATTTTCTCACATAAACCTGATTAAAATTTTCTTTTTTTCTTCATTGTCTTGTTATAAACTTTTACATTTTGTAATCTAAATTAGTATTTATAGCGGGCATCGCCCTGAATAGTCTTAACTAATTGCGATGCCCGCTAACTACTCATGTGTAAATTATTATTATTTATTGAATTAAACTTAAACTTGAAACTTAAACTAAACTTGAAACTTGAACTTGAACTTGAATTGATCGATCAAAAAATCAATTGATTGATCTACCATGCATCCATCAATTTGATCTTCCTTTCTCTCCTTTCATTCCAAAATTCTAGGATCCTACACAGAATCAGAAGGTATGCCTGTGATAAGACAACATATTGCAGACTTCATCACACAAAGAGACGGCTATCCCACTGATCCATCRAACATTTTTATGACCAATGGTGGTTCAGTGGCAATCCAGGTATAATATTTTAGACAAAGCACATCTTGATATACCAATCTTATTRTATTTATCTTGATGATACAATGCCTTCATTCAGTAACTATTGCTTCTGCCCTGATAATACAATTTGTTATTTGAATGCTTGGATCGTGAAGTGTGGCAGCTTGCCGTCAAAAGCACCTGAAGCTCCCATGGTTGCTAATGAAGAAGCCAATGAAGTATTTTAATTGAAACATGCTAAGTTACATCAAGGACAGCTCTAAGTTACAAGTATGAGCCAATTCAAGGACATTAAACTAGATGACAAAATCACTCTTGGCTACAACAGAGTTTTTTCTCCATTCTGGAACCCCCTCTTCCCATATAAGCCCTACCCAACTGATGTGACAATCTTTCCTTAATTACTGAATGCAAGATGTTTTGCACGTGTAGATTATATTCCGTGGGATGGCGAATGGAAAAGAAGGGAATGAAAGAGAAGGCTACTTTGTTGCATTTCCACAATACAGCTTGTATTGCGGCAAATCACTTGAACTAGGATCATACRTGGCAAGTATATCAAAATTAGTAAAATTATTGATTTATATTTTGTTGACATTTTAACTTATGTCAAAACTTTCAAAAAGAAAAAAAAAACACAAATGGATTATCTGAATATTCAGTGCTTGGCAAAATGTTAGCATACATTTATCGGTGAAATTGTGCAATATACTAATCCCAACTTGGAATGAGTACCGGTAGTTACATCTAGATAAATAATGATAGTAATAAATCTATTTATACTTTTTTCAGATTCCTTATTACTTGGATGAAGACAATGACTGGCAAATTGATACCAGTGAACTGGAAAGTCTTTTTCTTGAAGCCAAGTCACACTGCATACCAAAAATGTTTGTTCTTACAAATCCAGGAAATCCAACAGGTGCTGTGTCTGTAGGGAAGGGTTAGATGGTTGGGAGGGGTATGAATTCTATTGTTTTTTTCCAAAACGAAGTGAAAGATATAGTTGAGTAATGTTTTGAGCAATGAGCTGTGTCATAAAATGTCCAGGTTTGGAAGGCTAGAATAAAGCAGAATGAAAGGAAGTCTCTTACTAGTACATTATGTCTTTGGGTGTAGAATGGATATTAAAGGAAATGTATATAATAATATCTGGGAGGAATGGATGGAAGGGTGAATGAATGGAAGGATGCATGAAAAGATAAACTTAGGATTAATGGGATTAAAGGATTGAAATAAATATGGATGGATGAATTCATGTTCAAATTTAACATTCACAAACAGGTCACGTCTTGCCCCGTAAAAAYATCGAGGATGTCATCAAGTTTTGCCACAGAAATAAACTTGTGTTGTTTGCTGATGAAGTTTACCAAGACAACATTTACACAGAGGAGTTGCCATTTTACTCGTGTCGTCAGGTCATGTTTGAGATGGGACCTGAATATACAGATTTAAAGTTAATTTCACTGCACTGCAGTGCAAAAGGATGCTTTGGAGAGTAAGTGCACATCATGGACTTATTACTAAAGCTGTTGAAATCCTTTGAATTTCAAATTTTCAGTTTCTTAGGTTTCTTTATTGTACCTTATCATTTGCTGGACCTTAGATTCACCAACCTGAAGTGCATCGTGGGCTAGGGTCCTATGTTTCACTCCACAATGTGATGGTGGAGTGAATTGTAGTATCCAGGCCACAGAGCCCTGGAATATCATAGACTTTAATTTACAGATAAAGTATTTAATATATAGTTTATTTAATCAACAGAGCAGCTGCAAGAGGTGCTTATTTTGAACTTCATCATTTTAATGAACATGAAAAACATTGCTTTTACAAGAAACTTACAATGAGTTCTTCTCCAAATATTCTCGGCCAGGTAAATGAAAAATGAAATAAATGGAAAGTGGAAGGGAGCAGAAGTAGTGGGGTGAAAGGAAACTTGAAAAAAGTATAAAAAAGGATGCGATGGTAAAAAAATTAATTTAAAGCTAAGGAGTGATTCAAATAAAATTTGAGAAGATAAAAATAGAAAATGAACCAAGTGTCATTTTTCTTGTATCAAGGCATAATTGTATGCCGTGAGGGATAAGAAGTTAGAATCATCASCATCATATTCTTCTTATAGGTTGCAATGAGTCTAATGTGCAARCCTCCACAACCTGGGGATGAATCGTATGATTTGTATATCAAAGTAAGTCCTTTCAATTCATAGGCATATAATCTGTTTTCATAACTATTAATAATAAAACCCTCAATTTGATAACACATGATATCTTCCAAGTCAAAGATCTTCTTGTTCTCTATATTTCAGGAGAAAACGGCAATCATGGATTCTTTACGAGAAAAGGCTGTCATGACAAGAGAAATCCTAAACCAGCTCCCTGGCATCACTTGTAATAGAGTTACTGGTGCTTTTTATGCATTCCCTAAGCTCACTCTCCCCCCCAGAGCTATTGAGGAAGCAAAGGTATGTGACAACACACAGGAGTCGATTAAATCCAGGGGGAGTGTTTTGTTCTTATTGTTCATTCTCCAATGTAACTAGGAGCATCCAGTAACCCCTGGTTGGGCTAGCYATGTTGTACGAGTTTGCACATCCATTTTACAGTCATAGTTAAATGGTGTGATCCAGTCAAAGAATTAAGCAATAAATGATAGCTTGGAGCGATTTACTGGCAAAATAAACTGCGTAGGGATGGTTGGGAGAACACCAGAAAAGAGTGTTCATCCCTTTTTGAGTGTTCTCTCAACCATCCCAAGCAGTTTATTTTGCCAGTAAACTACTTTAAGCTATTGTCTGCTGGTTTATATTATAGCCGGCGTCTGCCATTTAGACTCAAAAATTCTTTGAAGACAGCAGGCTGGTTTACCGACCAAATAAACCATAGCTTTTATTTTCTTATGAAATCGGCCAATCAGCATTTAGTAAAATAATATAAACAATAATTTGCTAGCATTTTGTAACATCACCCCATGATATTTTATTACTGTTTATTCAGCGTCAAGGTGTTGAGCCTGACTATCTCTATGCAATTGGCCTGCTTGAAGAGACTGGTATAGTAGTCATGAATGGTGCTGGATTTGGACAGAAAAAAGGAACCTCACATTTTCGGTAAGTACTTTTTAATGSTATTTAATTACAGTAGAATCTTGTATACCTACACGTCCGTTGTCTGCCTATGAGAACTGCTCCTCACCCTGATATAATTTTACATTCTGGTATCTACGAAGGTTACATTCCTTTGATCTAATACAAGGTCTTTTATTTTAGAATTACAATCCTGCCACCAATGGAAGATGCAGTTCCAATGTTTGAAAGGATGAAGAAATATCATTTAGATTTTATGAAGAAGTATTCTTAGTCGAGGGAAATTATTTTTGARTAGATTTTAATGAGTACCTTTTAATAAAATAAATATATTATTAGCTGAATTTTTATAGCACTTATATCATTACAGAATCCTGGAAAAATGTTGCAAAAGTAATTTATTAGACTAAGTATTTCTAAGAAAAAGAGCTCGTTTTTCAAAAAGATATGAATAACTTATGATTTAATGTACAAAATCTGAAAAAAARKTYWMKTCYYTWTTTTT